CCTTTTATCCCACCCAGGCTACGAGCATTTTGGATGGTGTTACCAAGAACTGTTAATTCCAGTCAGCAGGCTAATTTAGTACCATACACCTTAATCCCAGTAGCACATGCCCTAGATCTAGCCAGATCCGAAAAACCTCATTTCTGAGCCCATGAAGCTTTGAGGGCACATCTAGTTACAAGCCGTAGTAGGGGTGAGGGTTATAACTCAGTGGTAGAGTGCTTACCTAATGTGTGAGACTGCAACTTTGATTACACACACTACCAAAGCCAAACAGACATCAAAGCTAGGGGCTGGGGAGATAGCTCAGTAGAATAAGCACTTCCTGGCAAGTGCAAGGGCCTGAGTTTAATCCCCGGTATGCAAAATAAATAAATAAATAGACATTAAAGCTGAAACCCAAATCAATTAAACAGTAGCACTGCAAAGGAAACAACCCAAAAAGTAGATCATGGAGATACTAAGTTCTCATGATAAATGAAGTAGTCACAGGAAAGTTTTCAAAACTGGAGATGGGAAAAAGGACTTTAGTGAGCAGTTAAGGTGAAGAGTGTCTGTTGCTACGGTATTGAAAGAAAGACGCCTAAATGGCCATATTTTAAACTACTAAGAAGGAAAAAGATGTAGGAAAAAGATGACTTTTGACTTAGTCACTATAGAAAAAGATGGTCCCAAATGATAGTGAATATTTGAAGAAAAGAGTTTGTTTATGCTGCTAGGCTGTTTTTCTTGGTAAGTATGAGAAATCTTTTGCCATTTTGTAGAACCTAAAAGAACTTATGAACACAAGCCAGCTGTAACTTGGCTCTTTTGGCAAGAACGGTAAGAAAGGTCTGCTGCCTAACAAGGTAGCCAGCAAAGTTGTGTGGGTCCTGGCAGAAGACACAGGTCTCCTGGGGGAGAGACAAAAGGCCAGTGTATTACAGCAATAGCAGAAGCCAAGTTCTGAGTTTGTGCATGCAGTGAGCTGTGTTAGAGTAATCTTGACATAAGAGTCTTAATCTTTAATAATACAGAGTCAGCCTGACCTTAGCTCCAAAGAAAATATTACACTGGAGAGGAAACAGTCATTTTCTTTTGAGGGAAATACCCTTGAAGGTAGTATAGAACAAAGGCCTTCCTGGGTACGCTCACACTGCAGAAGTGTGAGAACATGGAGAATCCCTTCCAGCGCCTTTATAGTATTACAAGTGGAGGAACAATAAAAATGATCACATTTATTCCTTCTTTACTCAACTAAAATTGAATGCTAGCCATGTGGTAGTAAGCTAAGGTGTTAGTGGGAAGTGGACAAGGAACATCTGTTAGACAAAGGCTTCAGAATGTAATCTAAAATTATACTCTGGAGCTGGAAAAGAAGCTGTGTTACCAGAAACATGGGCTGCTTAGGTCTTTAAAAGGAACTCACCTGTGTCTCTAATTAGAAGTGAATAATAGTAATAATCCTAAAAATAAATACAGTTTGTACCTGGGTAAGTGTTAAAATTTGGTGCAAAAGTAACGATGGGGCCAGTGAGATAGCTCAGCAGACTAAGCACCTGCTTAGGCAAGTGCAGGGACTGGGGTTCCATCCCCAGCACTTTAGGCCTCGCAGGCCCGCCCCCAGCATTTGCTGGACTGGGCATGGTGGTGCACACCTGTAATCCCAGCTCTTGGGAGGCTGAAAGACAGGAAGATCACTATGAGTTCGATCTGTATAGTGAGACCCTGTAAACCCTGTACTAAAATACATTAAAATTAATAAATAGAAAAGTAATGATGTAGATTAAATTGAATAGTCTATTATAGAGAACATAAGCTAAAACAAAGTTAAATTATAACATCATAAAGGAAAATTCAGTTATCACAGTTACGATGTTCAGTCTTCCCTGTTCAAAATAACATTAGACTTACAGATTTAATGTAAAGAGAAATCCACCTCAGCTGGGTGTGGGGGTACATGCCTATAATTTCAGTCCTTAGAAGAGTGAGGAAGGAGGATTGCTGTAAGTTTGAGGCCAGCCTGGGCTGCATAGTACATTCAAGGCCAGTGTGACCTTCATTCAAAGAAAAAAGCAAAAAGAAAAGAAATTCTTAAGTCCTATAATGGTAGTCTTTTTATTTATTCAAAACTGCTCTGCTTATTGAAAGGATTTAAGGAATTTTACAAAATGATTATAATAAGAGAACAGGGTGATAATTTGATATTCAAAGTTTACAAACATGTCCTTCATAAAAGCCAGATGTAGTATTAGACAAGATTGGGCTCATTCAGGGTAATACTGCCTAATATTAAGTTAGCTCTGAAGAAATATTTCCAGCAGCCCTCAGCTAGTTTAGCTCCTGGATACATATATCTGATGATCTAATTTAGTACAGAGGCGAAGTCAGAGAATGTAGAATACGTGTTAAATCAGTTCATAGATGGGGCTGGATAGGTAACAGAAGAATGCTGTTTCATGGAAACTTGCAAATTCAGTTGTTGTGGCAGTAACTGACCTGCTGAGCCTGTGCAGAGACCCTCTCCGTCTACACCGAGGGCAGCTGGGCCAGGGATGCTGTCACAAGTGACGGTGCTCTGCTGGGGTTCACGCCGCAGAGCACTAAGAGGACAGTGTCCCCCACAGGCTTCACTAGAAGAAGCATGTCACAGCTGTCTCACACAGATGTAAGGATGAATCAAGGACACTTGCTGCTGCTACCTCTGGACCCGCTTAGAGACGCTCAGTGTAGTAGCTAGAACAGAAGCAGGAGAGGCAACTGTGCTGGTTGCACCTGCAGTCCCAGATGCAGCTGCTTGGGCTGGGTCAGAGGGCTGAGGCAGGAGGGTCACTTGAGCCCAGGAGTTAGACTGGCTCAAAGGAAAGAAAGGAAAGAGTGAGGAATCTCCTATGTGCCCACGGCAATTGGTTTTTCATGTTCATTATTATCACAGAATATTGTATTTGTTTGGATTCAGTCTTGTCATTTAAACTGAAAGCCCGGGGCTGGTGAGATGGCTCAGTGGTCTAAAGAACCTACTTAGAACAAGCTTAGCAAAGCACAGGGACCACGGTTCAATCCCCAGCCCCACATGCCAGCCAGCCCCGCCCCCTGGTGGGCTGAGCTGGCCACACACACACACACACACACACACACACACACACGCACACATAAATAAAAATAAAATAATTAAAAAAAAACTTAAAAAAAAATAAACTGAAAGCCCTCTAGGCATTTTATTAACATTTTTATATCATTGACAGTTGTACTAATCATGTACTAAGTGCTTTTAGAATGGAGAGACTACCAAGAATTTGTTCATTATGTACCAGAAGCATGTACTAATAAAAATGTTAAAACTAGCATGGATAAAAATAGAGATTTCAGGAAATTCATGGGAAAAGATGTCTTAGGAAATCCAAGGGGAAACAGAAAATGGTAGAGGTCTAAGTTATTTATGTGGTGGTAGGAAGTTTGTGGAAGGGAAGCTTCTAAGTTTAAATTTTGAATTATAGTAACTTTCATTACAACAAGGTGAGGTTTTGGTAAAAGGAATAAAAGCATGGAGCAGGGCAGAGTGAAATAAATCAGGGATTCCAGAAATAGATTCAGTCTTTCAAATTGAATTACATGACAGTTTGAGAAATAAGGGGAAACCCCAGCACGCTTTACCAATTGCTTCTGAAGGGGCCCGGTAAGCACATGTGCACGTTACTTTAGGTCTGTGTTTCATATTCTGATGAGAGATTCTAAGTCAGTGAGTTATCATTTGTAGATGATTGATCAAGGCATGTGAAAGCTGTAGGCAGAAAGAGCTCCCAGTACCTTTTTTTTTTTTTTTTTTTTTTTTGGCAGAATCAGGGATTGAACTCAGGCCCTTGCACTTGCCAGGGAAGCGCTTACTCCACTGAGCCATCTCCCCAGCCCGCTCCCAGTACTTTTGATGAAATGAGGGACAGTTTCCTGGAAGATGGAAAGTGTGAACCAAACCTGAAGGCATCCGTGAGGGGCCCTCCTCAGGAAGCTGGTGGAGGATGTGAGATGCATAGGCAGGAGAGGTAAAGGAAGCTTCACCGAGTGGGTGGGACATGGGACAGGCTGGGACCTGAGGAGGTAACAGGCACAGTGACCAGGCCCATCACAACCACTGATCGGTGGTATGTAGATGGGTAGAAGGTGAGACAGACTGAAGAAAGCAGCTAAGCTGCAGGCAGGTGGTGAGGGGTGGTTTCCTATGTAGACTTTATTTTTTTGGAAGAAGGTGAGAAATACATAAATTTCAAGTCTAAAATCAGTAGAACCAAAAGAAAACTGTAAAGCCCAGTGTTGCAGGGACATTGGGGAAATGAGCGCATGCCCAGGACTAATGGCAGAAGAAAACAGTCTTCACAAGATGGGTACCTACAGTACCTCGAGATGCATAGGTGAAGAGCAGCCCAAATGTGCAGGGTAGAGGAGGGCTGAATGAATTAGTTAATATCATGGAATTTTAAAAGCTGTCAAAATGGCTAAGTAGGGCCAGGGAGATGGCTCATTGGAATAAGCACTTCCCTGGCGAGCGCAAGGGCTTGAGTTCAATCCCCAGTTCTGCCAAAAAAAAAAAGACTAGGTAGATTAGCCATTTGGAAATGGAAATGCAAATGCAAAATGCAAATAAATCATTAAAATAGGCATTGCATGTAAGAATATATGTGGCAAAAAATGAAAAAGGTCATGAGCGATAAGAATGGGTAGGTTTTTCTCTGCTGCAGAATTAGTATGTCAGAGTTAGCCCTGTACAAAGAGTGGATTTTGGAACTTCTTAAAATATAGCCCTCTAAGCTGGGCATAGTGGCACACACCTATAATCCCAGGAGGCAGGAGGATTGTTGCAAGTTCAAGATCAACCTGGACTACAAAGTGAGCGCATGACCAGTACATAGTGAGACCCTGTCTCAAAAAGACTAACAATAACAACAACAACAACAACAACAATATATATATATCTGTAATCATGAACCTTTTCAGCTACCAAACAACCTCTTGTTACTTCATTTCAGGAGCAAAGCATTGAGGAACAGTCGGAGTGTACTCAGGATTTTTACCAGAGTGTAGCCGAGAGGATGCAGATTCGTGGGAAAGGTAATGTCGCTGTTGGGTCACTTGGAACTGCCAGGCCGTTGCTCATCACTTAGCCCTTCCCTCTTCTCATGGCCCAGCAGGGTTCATACACTGTGCTGTAGGCCACTCTGCTGATGCTCTAGAAGCTAGGCTCAGGTTGACAGTGCCTTTGAATGCCACTGTGTGTCACCAGAGCAGCTGGGTGGCTTATTGATAGTAATGCTTAATACCTCCATTGTGGGTGAATGTGAGATGGGTTAAAACCATTTGGGATGCTTTCCTAACTGACTGCCCCTTCTTGGAGTCAGCAGCGTGGTGAGTCACTGTTTGTGATGGTATAACTGTGAGTCTCAAGAGGGTTGGGGTGGGGGGAAAGCGCAGAATTACTGCTTAAGCTTCAGAGTGGAATAGATTCTTCTGGAATTTGACCTCACTGATGTACTTAGGATATGTATGTGTGTCTGAGAAATCAGGCTGTGTGTGTGCCTTGGAGAGATCTCTGTGGTTTTATGGTAGGCCTCAGAGAAATGAAAGGAAAGAAATGAAATCTTGCCAACACTTGTGATCTTGGGGTTCCAAGTGCTTTACTAAGTAGCAGTAGGGAGGCCCGCTCAGCGGTCTGTTAACTCTGCTTATATGGGGAGTGGAGATGCTGGCAAAGTTAATCTTAAAGGTTGAGATAATTTTTTATATGGTGTTTTAGTTGTGACATACTTTCTTTCTTTTTTTTTTTTAAACTATTTTTTAAACAAATTTATTTATTTTATTTGTTTCTTTATTTTGTGTGTGTGTGGCCAGCTCAGCCCACCAGGGGGCGGGGCTGGCTGGCATGTGGTGCTGGGGGATTGAACCGCGGTCCCTGTGCTTTGCTGAGCTTAGCTTGTTGTAAGTAGGTGCTTTAGACCACTGAGCCATCTCACCAGCCCCTGTGACATACTTTCTTTTCTGTGTGTGCATAGTATATATGATATGAACGAAAATATGGTGAATGCTAATCTTTTTTAATTGATTACAGTAAAAAACACATTGCCATTAATCTTTCTCACAATATTCCTTGCTTTTTTTTTTTTTTTTAACTGAGGAAAAAAAAGTATATATTTAGAATTAGCCAGATGGACTCAGTTTAGGTGATCTCAAATTTTGTTGGCAACATCCAATGCATCATAATTGGAAGCCTGTCGAACATATGCCTTCTTCTCTTCATCAGGCCTGATTAGGGTGTTGACCTTGGCAACATCGCTGTCATAGAGCTTCTTTACAGCTTGTTTGATTTGGTGCTTATTGGCTTTGACATCCAAAATGAACACGAGTGTGGGGCGGGGAGATGGCTCAGTGGAATCAGCGCTTCCCTGGCAAGTGCAAGGGCCTGAGTTCAATCCCTGGTTCCCTCAAAAAAAAAAAAAAAAAAAGTGAACATGAGTGTGTTGTTGTCCTCAATCTTATTCATGGTTGACTCTGTGGTCGGGGGGGGGAACTTGATGATGGTGTAGTGGTCAAGCTTGTTTCTCCTGGGGGCACTCTTCTGAGGGTATTTGGGCTGCCTCCAGAGTCTCAGTGTCTTAGGATGGCAGAAGGTGGGCGACGTTCTTGTCTTCTTTTTGTGGCTGTGGAAGCCTTTCAGCACAGCCTTTTCAGTTTCTTGGCCTGCAAAGCTTTTGCTTTGGCTTCAGCTTTGGTAAGGGCAAGGACTTCCTTCTTTGCCTGCAGCGCCATCTTGGTAAAAAGGTTCTACTCCTTGCTTTAAACACATGTGTCCTGTCGTTTTACCCTTTTCTGAAGCAGGTCTGGAAATCCTCTTTCCTCTCATTAGTTGTGTTGTCCTGGGTACCACAGTGTCCTGAATGAATTCAAAATGTTGATCGTATGTGGTCATTTTGACCTTGGGGAAGAGCTAGGAGTCACACAGTGCCACGTCCAGAGGAAGAGGATGCACTGTTAGGCTTCAAGAGCTTGCCTTTGCATTGGATGGCACTTGGCAGCAGGTTTCACTGTATTTTTTTATCACATCTCATAAACACACTCATGAAGAGGACTTGCAGAACTGCTTCAAAAAGGAGCAAGAATGACGGCCTAAGTGTGTATGAAGCAAATAGTATTTTGAAGGGGATTAGTGGCCATGTGTCTTTAAGTACTTTGATGTAACATTCTCCATATATTTTATCACCTTTATATTTCTAGTAAATTAGTAAATGTACTAGTAAGTTAGTTTTCTGCTATGCTGAAAGTACTCTGAAGATATGCTTTCTGTTTAAAATGTCTGTCCTCTTGAGCTTTTATATCTATTTGTGTATTTCAGTGCCTTCAGAAAAAGTTGAGAAGATAATGGATCAGATTGAAAAGTACATCATGACTCGTCTCTATAAATATGTGTTCTGTCCGGAAACTACTGATGACGAGAAGAAAGATCTTGCCATTCAGAAGAGAATCAGGTCCTTTGTTTTCCTTTGTCATATGTTTACTCCTTACTCATGGAAAAACACATGGTAGAAAAGTAAGGACCTTGACTTTCAGCCCCTAAGAGACAGTAAGAGCTAAACTGCCTCCTGTGCCTGCCTACAAGCCCTCTGTGCTGTCAGGAAGAGTGGGCCTGGATAGTCTTGCTCATCCATCTCACCCTAGGCAGCTTTAGATAAGAATCATATTTGGTGTTTAAATTTGTTTCAAGTCTCAGAATTGCCAAGGAACAAGAGGACTTGTTTCCTTACCCTCTTTTACTGTCCTGTCAGGCAGCAGACTGTGGCTGCTGCACTGGGGCGGTGGGCACCCTGTTCCCTCCTTCTGACCACAGGGCAGAGCATGCGTTATTGTGCAGCCATTCCTTGGTCTCCACTCTCACCAGTGCTCAGCCTCCTGGGTCCACAGGGTGGGCCCCAGAACTCACACTCTGGGGACACTAGGACACCTAGGACCAGCCACCTTTGGGGACATTGACCCATCTGAGGCAGGTCTGTGGAGGACAGGGCCCAGGACCCCAGATGAGGTCTCAGAGCAGGGTCTGGTTGTCCTCAGCCTGTACTGAAAGTGGTGTTGCAGGAGTGAGGTGTGCAGCCGGAAGGTAGGGGCTGGGAGTAACTGGAGGGAGAGCAGCAGCCGAGCAAAGTTCGGGCAGTTGTGGGCTGAGCCCGGGAAGTGCACCGTGGTCCAAGCCACAAGGACTCCTGCTCGCTGGCTCTCCTAGGGCTCCCATAGCCCCAGATGGGCATGAGTGGTGGCCAGTGAGACTTTTTACATGGAGGACTTCTCAGTCTTAGTAGCAGCATCTCCTGCTCGTTTTTGTTTCCTTTTGGTGTTTGTTTTTGTGCTACTGAGGATTGAACCCAGGACCTTCAGACTGAACTACAATCTCTGCCCTTTTTTACTTTTTTATTTGGAGACAGGACCTTGCTGAATAATTGACATCCAAGCAGGACTAGAACTTTCAATCCTGCCTTAGTCTCCCAGAGTGCTAGGGTAACAGGTTTGTAGCTCCACACCTCACTTTTGCTTTCAATTAACAAAACCGTCTTCTGTTCCTGTGGTAGATGCAGAAGTGTGGTCTTGTTTTAGGGTTCTGGCTACTTTGACGTCATCCACACAGGACTTAGGTGGCAGGACCAAACATTGCCTATGGATGGCCCCTGTCTTCCATCAGCTGGAGGCAGTGGCAGGATAGGAGGCTGTGGTCCATCCCTGGAACTCTGCTTTACTGTTTCTCTCTCTGTAGGGCTCTGCACTGGGTCACACCTCAGATGCTTTGTGTCCCTGTTAATGAAGAAATTCCAGAAGTTTCTGATATGGTGGTGAAAGCAATCACAGGTCAGTGAAACTGAGAGCTTTGGTACTTGGCTGTTTTCCCCCTTAGGTTAACATTTTGTAATAATATTAGTTCATGTTTATTCAGTGAGCAGAAAGTTTTTAAAATATTTCCATACTGCAGATGGCCCAGGTACATGGGAGTGTAGTAGAAGTGATTTGCACAAGGGTCAGTTTTCTGAATGGGTGCACTCAGAATAGGAGGCAAATAAACTCTGTTTTCCCTTCATTTTTAGTGATCAGAGTCAGTCTCTCTCTCTCTCTCTCTCTCTCTCTCTCTCTCTCTCTCTCTCTCTCTCTCTGTACCAGGGATGGAACTCAGGACTCTGTGCTTGCCAGGGAAACACTTATTTTACTGAGCTATCTCCCCAGCCCTATTCTCTTATTTTTTATTTTTTATTTTTTGCTTCTTTTTTTTTTTTTTTTTTTTTCGGAACCGGGGATCGAACTCAGGCCCTTGCGCTTGCCAGGGAAGCGCTTATTCCACTGAGCCATCTCCCCAGGCCCCACTCTCATTTTTTAAACAATGAGCTAGACTAATATCAAATACAACTGAAATGAATTTCTGAAGACTCAGTCACATTTATATATTCAAAATATTTCAGGACAGAAACTAGCAAGGCCAGTAATTCCCAAACCAGAATGACGCCAACACTGCCACTGACTGGCTATTGATCAGAAGTAGAAGTGTGCTTTGAATTATTTTTTCTGATTTGATCAAGAAATACACAAATTGGCCTAAATTGATGTGCCTTTGCCATTCTGGATAGGTCCTGGCTCCTAGTAAGATTTCTGTTTCTCATTCATAGGAAAAACCAGCAGCAGTTCAACAGAGAAGTTTAAAACACCTGATGTCGAGAATGTCCACCCTTCGCCCCTTCCCCTTAACTAGGGAGAAGAGTGGGAGAGACCGGCTCGTTTAGACATGGAAAGTGGAGTTGGCTGGGAGTGGAGGGGCCAGCTAGTGTTAGCAGCTCAGAAGCAGGCCATGAGGATGGTGCTTGGGTTCAGCACAGAGGTTGTCCAGGCTGCAGGAGGAGGCAGGTCTTAGGGGTCAAGATGAGCTGCGTATTAGCAGCTCTGTATGGGAGGCTGGGCTTAGCAGTAGCAGGGGCTTTGCCCCGGGCCTTCTGGGCCTGGAGTGATTCTTCTACACGGGCAGGTTCTGCTTCCCTTTGTATGTCCTTACACTTCAACTTCTGTTAGGGAGTACATTTTTCTCTATAATTTTCGGAACAATTTCTGAAGATAGTGTAATTGTCCTAGCTAACTCCTGTCATCTTTATTGCTCCAAGCTTTTCTGCAAGTCTGCCACAGGACCTGTGAGCTGAGTCCTTTGGATCAAAAGCCTTCCCAGCCTCTATCTTTTTCCCTGGGCCTTTAAAGGGATTGAAGGTGGGGTGGGATGGGGGTGGGGGATGAATCCCAAAGGCTGGATAGGGACCTTGAACTTGTGTGTGTGTGTGTGTGTGTGTGTGTGTGTGTGTGTGTGTGTGTGAGCCCCTGATACTTAACAGAAACTTCAAGACAGAATGGTTTATTGTTATAGTATAAACCTCAGGAATTTATGTTGGGGATGTCTTTCTGACAATCACAGGACAGGTCTTAAGTGCCAAATATTGTTTACTTTAAAATGTAATGAAAACAGAGTTTCATTGTATCCGAGTTTGTTAATACATTTTGAGAGGTGAGACTTTGTTCTCAAGTCATTTGATTTGGTGGTTCAGAATTTTAGTAGTAGAAAGTCAAGGGCCAGTGAGATAGCTCAGTGGACTAAGCACCTGCTTGGGCAAGCACAGGGACTGGGGTTTGATTCATGGCACCACAGGCCTTGCCAGCCCACCCTGGGCACGTTGAGCCAGCACTGAGACCAGGTGTGGTGGTGTACACCTGTAATCTCAGTGCTGGGGAGGCTGAAACAGGAGGATCACTATGAGTCTGAGCTGTGCAGTGAAACCCTGTACCAAATGCATAAAAAATAGTAGAAAGTCAGCTACAAAAATTTAAAAGCCTTCTGTGTCTTTCTCTCACATCTTTGTTCCTATGTTGGTCAGGCCAATTAGAGATAGACTACAAATTGCACAGTCTAAAATTGTTTGCCTGTGTACAGAGTGGTCAGAGAGGACAGCAACCTGTAACAGCATCCTTAGTGTCCTGTAGCAGCACCCTCAGTGTGGAGGTTTAGATCCAGGTCTCCAGCACTCAGTCTCATTGATAGATAGTGCTAAGTGAGGCCTTCTCCTTTGCAGTTGCTATCTTGCTAAAGGAATAATGCGTAGAAAGAGTGCAATCCTGTTTTCCCCTGGCTTCCCTCTTGGAATTTGGGGCTTCTAGAATGATTGTCTTCATTGTGGGAGGCACAGGTAAATGAAGCTGTGGAGACAGTTAAGCTGACAGTGTACTGGAGCAGGTGGCCACAACAGTTAAAGTAGATCACGAGGGCATCCTCTGGTGATCTACTTTAATATTTCTTCCTCTCATGGCTAGAGGAAAAATATTGTAAAACCATAACTATAAAAATACATATTTTTTTGTGCATCTTGTACAGCAAATAATCACTAGGAAGAGAGTATGCAGTGTGTTAATTATTGGAACTGTCCTACCAATTTGATTTGAAACTGTCTCATTGCTATTTGTTTCCCAATAAAATTATGGAAAAAATATATTTGAATATATCATGGGCTTATTTAATGCATGTATATCTCAGTGTACCATGAGCCAAATAAAAGAAAAAAATTTTGGCAGAAGGATTTTTTTTTTGGGGGGGGGGCTGGCTCCGAATGCCTTCAGGGCAGGTTTGGCTGGCTGGAGTTGTGGGGATTGAACCACAGCAACCTCAGCCTGACTGCTTTGTTGAAGCAGCCACTTAAAGAACTGAGCTGAGGGGGCAGGCCCCTGAAAGAAAAAGATTTTGGAAAAAAAAATACATATTTTTGAGTCAGGGCATAGTGATACACATGTTATCCCAGCACTCTGGGAAGCTAAGGCAAGAGGATTCAAGTTTGAGCCCGGCCGGTATAACTTGGCAAGTTATCAAGGCAAAAAATATTAATAAAAAGCTAAGGAGGTAGCTGAGCACAAAGCCCTGGGTTCAATCCCCATTATTTCTAAAAAGAAAGAAGAAAAGACAACAAGGAATCCAGGAAAGCCATGCTCAGCATCTCTTAGCTCCAAGAGTGAGGGTATAAGGCAAGTGTCAGGGCCTGTAGTCGATGGCAACATTTGCCCTTTCACATTGAGCTCCTCATCTTAGAGCTTCTCTAAGGGAGCCTCCATCCAGGCAGGGGTCCCCAGCCAGCCACTGGCTACCCTCAGGTGCATTTGGCAGCACCTGGAGGCAAGAGCCCAACACCTGCTTTTCACACACTCCATGTGGGAGTGAGACCCCTAGGCCTCAGCAGGAGCTGCTGTTGAGTGTGCCCTGAGGCAGAACTGGTGTCCAGTGGGCACTGAGTGTGCTCCACTGTTCAGTGGAGCCCTCTGCAGCACCGTCTGCAGCCCCATATACAAATATGCAGAGAGCACCGCTGGCGAGAGCTCCCTTAAGAGCAAGCCTAATGCAGCTAAGGTAGCACCCATCTGCCTTTCTGTCCTCCTGATGACAAGCAAAAGCCTCGGACATGAGACATAATGTGATTATCTGCAGCCTCTGGGGAAAAATAAGTAGATTAGAGAGGGAAATGGTTACTCAGAACAGCCCCTGGAGCAGTGAGTTTCCTGCTTATTGGCCTTTTCCTCCTTCACTGCCTAGGGTAGAGCGCAGGGCAAGCCCAGAGCTGCACATCGAGCGAGTGTCCAGAGCTAAAGCAACTGCTCCAGGGCCTCCCAGGGTGATGCCTGGGTGCTTTCTTCCTTTGGTTTCCTCTTTCTGCACTCTCTTCCCTTTCCATGCAGCTCTGCCCTGGGGAGCAGGGGCCACACAAGTCCAGATGGGAAGGAATTCACTCTCAGACCTTGCAGAGTAGAGATTAGGGAGAAAATGGTGCAGGTTTAAAGTAGGGCCGGGGTGTGCAGCTCCGGCACAATGGTGCCCAGCATGCCTAGATACACACACACACACACACACACACACACACACACACACACACATAGGTTAGCGGCTAACAATATACAGTACAAAGTAGAAAAACTACAGAGGATCAATGAAAGTAGTAAAAAGCTGTCCCTACTTAGCTAGTTCTTTTTTTGTTGTTAGGGTTTTTTTTAGTAATAAATTCTAGTTAAACAGAACAGAGACAATACACTGAAGCATCATAATAAATTAGAACCCAGAATTAGAAGATTAAAGTGACCAAAAGTCCTGTCATTGCCACAGTAGTATCAAGGATAAAAGCCCAAGTCGGCCCACCAAGGCGGCTGCCTGTCTTGGCAGAATGTCTGTCCCTCTCTCTTCAAGGCCTGACCCTGAGGTCCCCAGGTGGCTGCCCAGACTCAGCTCAGGGTAGAGCCCCTGCCCGAGCCCCAGCATGTGGCCTGGGCCCCAAGCACTTTCTCCTGCCAGTGGTGCACACCTGCTGCCCTGCTCGCTCCCCCTGCTGAGCACAGAGGCACAGCCACAGGCTTACCACACCATGTGACACCCGCTGTGCCCACTGGTCCTCACTGTGTCCCCCAGACTTCAGCAGAGGCTGTGCCCTGGTTGGACTTAGCAGTAGGCAAAGGCCATGCATGACTCTTTGAGAACTAAAATGCTCTTTGGGGTAGACACGTACCCTCGCATTGTCTTCTGCTGGAAGCAGGTGACACGTGTCATATGCATCCTGTGGAGAGTTCCACACCTGGAGGACTGGCCACTGCAGACCCACATGTGTGTTCTGATCTCCAGATGTTTTGCATAGTAACCACATTGCTGTTCATGCCATCTTACAGTGCACATTTATCATACGTATGTATGGTATACGCATGTTATTTCCACACATACATAAGCTGTCAGAGAGAGAGAGCAGGGTGGTTAGCATTTCCCTTCCTTGCCATCCCTGTGTGTCTGCAGCCTCGTCCTCCTCTGCCCTAGACCCCCAGGTAAAACATGGTCCCCAGGCTGAATGGCCACTGTCCCCACAGGCTGCACCCAGCATGACCTCAGCCTCCACCTGGGTCTCAGTCTGTTCCCCAGCTGCCCTGTGTACCCCTCATCAGATCCTCAGATCTCGAGTTCTGAGCAAGAAAGCAGAGCAGGCCACTTCTCCCTTCGCCATGGAGCTCAGAGGCTGTCCCCCTTGTGATTAGGAGCCTGTGTTTAGGTTTCGAGATCTCGCTGCTGTCCCCATCATGGTTGTTATTTGCCCTCTCGCAGCCAATCTCTATTACATAAACGTGTGGTGAGAAAAGGTGTTTGCGGCACAGACTGCGTCAGGCTTGGCTTGTGGTAAGCGTTCTGTGAGTGAGACCAAGCTGGGGCCCGCGCCTCCCATGTTCCCAGTTAGCTACTGGGCTGACACTTTACTTCACAAGGATGCCTCTGTCACCTCGATAGGCAGATGTGCTTGTCCTGTTGCTGCCTTCACTGACTTTCCTATGGTGGCACCCCCTTCAACTCACAGATATCATCGAAATGGATTCGAAGCGCGTGCCCCGAGACAAGCTGGCTTGCATCACCAGGTGCAGCAAGCACATCTTCAACGCCATCAAGATCACCAAGAATGAGCCAGCTTCTGCTGACGACTTCTTGCCCACGCTCATCTACATTGTGCTGAAGGGCAACCCGCCTCGCCTACAGTCCAACATCCAGTACATCACTCGCTTCTGCAACCCGAGCCGGCTGATGACCGGGGAGGATGGCTATTACTTCACCAATCTGGTAGGGCTGGAGCTAGGGCTGGAGGAGTGTTGACTGATTTGGGGGTTCGTTCTGAGATAAGATCTCGCTATATAGTTCAGGCTGGCCTTGAACTGAAGGTGAGCCTCCTGCCTCAGCCTCCTGAGTGCTGGGGTCACAGGTGTGTGCCACCATCCTGGTTTCCTGAGAGCCATGAGGGCCGATGCCAGTGTGAAGTAGTTTAGCACTCTTGAGGCCAGAACCAGCATGGCTGGAGGGTGAATACTTTGTGTCAAGAGTGCTTGTAACCAAGTCACATAGGTTTCTACCTCCTGGCACTCAGCCAAAGGCCTTGTGGCTTTTGGAGAAGAGGTGCCATCACCTTAGCTCTGAGAGACCTTTTAGCTGAGCTCCCAGCTGAATTGGCCTGGTCCTGGACTGTGGTCCTTTGTAGTGAAGTCTTGCTCTGCTTGGCCTCCTGATTCCTCTGCTCTGGAGCTCCCCTAGCCCTTGACTCCCATAGTCCCACCTCTTCACCGCTGTGCAGGCTGGTGGCCTCTGCTCCCTGAGAGTCAGCCCCCTGGTGTCCCGTCCTTTGTGCGTCTCACCGCCTGTCTCACGTGATGCAGTTTTGTCATCACCTACATGCTGGCAGTGAGGGCCCTCAGGGCTGGAGCCCACACTGCATGCCAGTGTTCATTGGGCCTCAGACTTAATTCCCTCCAGGCTGAAACTGTCCTCCCTGCCCCCCATACCTCTCCTCTCTTCCTGGAGCAGTGCGGAGTTCTTGTTCCTGTTTGGAGCATCTGAGTCGCCCTAGGTCACCTCTCTGCTGGTGGCCAGGGCTGCATGGTCCACCATGCCAAGAGCAGGCAGGTGGCCTCCAGGCTGCAGTGTTAAGACTGTGGGAGAAGACGGGCTCTGCCCATTAGGAACGACCCAGGCCCCTGGGAACGAGTTTTGGGTAACTAGGAGCTGCCTGGCAACCCATTTCTGTTCCATGTTTCCCCTGCCAGTTGACGGTGTTCGAAGATGTGTGGCTGTGTCCCTTCTTACCATAAAACTGACTGATATTCACCCCATCTTACAGCTTCAGAAACAACATTTTACAGAGCTCCAGTGACTCTGGAGGTCACACACTTGCTGATAATGACTGAGGTGACAACTCAAGGGTCTCACTTCAGAGACCCTTCCTTTTTCCCTTGTGAACCAGGGGCTCATGTGCACTAGAGGACCCATGCCCACTGGATGGTGTCCTGGTGGGCATGCTGGGCCTGGCAGCTCTGAGTAGTGGCCTTATGGAACGCTTGGAGGGGACACCCAGGTGTGTGGCCCAAATCGTGACTGACTGTGAGTTGGTGATTTTTCAAGCTAAGGATAGGGAGACTCATTATCATTTGCCTATGGTTGCTATTTTAAGTTTCCCATAACAAAAATGTTTTAAAATCTATTTAGAAAAATATCTATTTGAAGCCAGGCATGGTGGTGCATGTTTATAATCCCAACATTCTGGGAGGCTGAGGCAGGAGGATCACGAGTTTAAGTGTAGCCTGGACAACTTAGTGACTTAATGAGACCCCCATCAAAATTAAAAACAATTTTTTTTAAAGGGCAAAAGCCCTGGATCCAATCTGCAGTACTGCAAAAATAAGTTTTAAAAAATTAATTGAGTACTTGTAGCTTTCACACCTGACTAACAACATTCTCTCCTCTCTCAGTGCTGTGCTGTGGCTTTCATTGAGAAATTGGATGCCCAGTCTCTGAATTTAAGCCAGGAGGATTTTGATCGCTACATGTCTGGCCAGACCTCTCCCAGGAAGCAGGAATCTGAAAGCTGGTCTCCGGATGCCTGCTTAGGCGTCAAGCAGATGTATAAGAACTTGGATCTCCTGTCTCAGTTGAATGAACGGCAAGAAAGGATCATGAATGAAGCTAAGAAACTTGAAAAAGACCTAATAGATTGGACGGATGGAATTGCAAAGGAGGTGCAAGACATTGTTGAAAAATACCCACTTGAAATTAAGCCCGCAGCCCAGCCATTGGCCGCAATAGACTCTGAAAACGTAGAGAATGACAAGCTCCCGCCACCGCTGCAGCCGCAGGTGTACGCGGGATGACAGGCGTGGTGAGAGTGCTTGCTGGAGCCCGACCTAGGTAGCCCTTCCCAAGGCCTCTGACGGGGTCTGGAACATAACTTCATTGCTTACAAAAGTCAGAGCGTTTTAAGGTACAGTAGCTGGGGCTTGTTGAGTTCATTTTGTTTCCTTTTTTCTGGCAGGGGAAGCTTAGTAAATAATAAATATTATTTATTTGAGTTACTGAAACAGATTCATCTAAGGCTTATGTGAAAATTCTGGTTAAATATTCTTTTTCTCCATGATTTTCCTCTGAGGCACTCACTGTGGTTTAGTGTGGAGTAAATAATTGCCTTTTAAGGGAGAAAACAAATCACCACAAAGTGTGTGTGAAGGGAATCCAGTGTTGTCACTGTCCAACATTTTGAAATAATTTTGTAAGTGTAAAGATAGTAGACCTATTATTGATAAGTAAATATGTACAATTGTAAATATGTAAAAGGAAAAAAGAATGGCGTCTGCAGTGCATGACATTTTGTGTCTAGTTTTTGAGTTTAAAATGAGGCGCATTGGGTGTTTGCCTTTATGTTCAGCTTGCCCCACCAAAGGACTCTGAAGCCGTTTGCATACGGCCCCTCAAACGCGGCTGTCTGCACAGTGCCTCACCCGCTCTCAGCCGTCCAGGTATGGGCATTTCAGGGCCAGGTCCTGGCCGGGCCCTGGGCTAAGGGGAGCAGCCTCAGGCACTGCAGCCTCCAGGTGTGCTCTGCTTTCTGGTGGTGAATGTGACGGGACCCCAGTGCCCACTCCCGTCTGTAGGTGAGACTTCTGGGCAGGGCCACCCTGCGCACTGTAACGTGGTTAGCAGCATTGCTACCCTCCACACTTATTGGATGCCTGCAGCGCCCAGGGTTGTGACAGGCTCTCCCCACACATTGCTTGATGGCTCATGGGAGCAGAGTCACTCTTGGGGAAGAACCACCGCGCTCTCATGATCCAGGGAGTTGTCCTGTGGTTGCTGTGAGGTGAAAAGGCCCCATTTGGGCACAGCATTGTGATACCCAACCCTCACACAGTGTGCAGCCTTTCCAAGTCCAGGTTAGTGAGGCTTTGCATAACCTAACCATGTTGGGTTAGTGGCTTCTGCAGATGTCAGTGTCCTTGTGAATTAGGGGAGATTCTGCATGTCACAGGGCCCCCTTGAACAGTAGCACATCCCCAAGTAGTGCTTCCCAGCATCTACCTGAGAGTACACCACTGTGTAGTGAAATAACTGTGGAAGAAAAGGAGGGTAAGGCTGGGCATGGTGGTGCACACCTGTCATCCCAGTATCCAGGAGGCTGAGGCAGGAGGATCACTGAGTTCTAGGCCAGTCTGGGCTATAAAGTCAGTTCAAGGCCAGTTTGAACTGCATTGCAAAATCATGTCACAAAAAGAAAACAAGGGTGGGCATAACACATGGCATCCTTTATTTAAGTTTACACATAGAATCTACCAGGCACAACACTTCTGTTATAAAGCCCTGCAGACATGAAGCATCAAGGTCAGCTGGCCACCGAGCGCCTGTGGAAGGCCATGAGGTACTGCCCAGCACCAGGGAGACTCTTCTCTTGGGAAACCGGTGCCCAAATGATGCCAGCAGCTTGCCCTTCTTCTTCCTGTTTTCTATGTATGTTCTGGGTGCTAATCCAGGTGTCTGTGATCTTAATTCCTCCGCAAGTACGGTGCTTTTAGTTGTACCTTATGTTCATTTAATAAAATATACATCCCAGCCAGGTGATACACAGCTGTAGGGATGCACATCTGAAACCCCAGCACACGGGAGGCTGAGGCCAGAAGATTTCGAGTCCAAGGCCGGCCTAGTCTGCAGTGCGAGTTCAAGATCGGCCTGGATGACATAAGACACCATCTCAAAAAGAAGAAGAAAATACCTACCAGGCTTTCACAAAAGCCGCCTCTGGGGTTCTTACGAACCTTTATAGTAGGTTGTTGAGTTGAAGTTCTGTACATCATGTTGATCCAGCTCTTCAGATGCAGACGTGCCTCATGAGGGCTTGTTTTTCTGCTGAGTCAGCACCGACACAGTGGTCAATTTCTGCTTCGCAACAAGGAAGTAAGATATTTTATGTACTGTAAATGTAGTTGGGGGCTGGGGAGATAGCTCAGTAGAGTAAGTGCCTGCCTGGCAAGTGCAGGGTCCTGAGTTCAATCCCTGGTACCACAAAAGAAAAAAAAAAAAAAAAAAAAGTAGTTGGAATATACCTTTGGGAGGAAAGCCTTATCAATAAAGGGATGATCCATCTCTCTTCCAAATAGACTGATTTTGGGGTCTTTGCTAGAGAAATACACATCATTACTAATGTCCTCACATTACAAAGGTATAGTTATTATTATTGTACTTAAGAATGAAAGAAGAGAGTTTCTCAATTAAAATTGAAAGCGGAGACAAGGGCTCAGGATTTACTATTCCTGCACTGCTATCCCTATAATTGTTCTGGGAGTTTCACCTGAGGGATGCAGTCTTCAAACACCGAAGCAAAGGAAGGAAGAACTTTATCCAATGAAGCCAGAGAGGATAGCTGGGCAGGAAGGGCTGTTGCTTTGGAACCAAAAGGCCTGGATCTGGTCTTGAATTTGATTCTGTCTCTTATGTGGGCTCCTTGGGCAAATCTCTCACATTCCAGACACCTCTGCTGGAATGGGGTAACATCATGCTGGAGTCAGGAGGTGGCTGCCAGGGTAACATGACCTAGAACAAGTAAGTGGAAGCCATTGTTTCAAAGTGATGTTTCTAGGTAGCAAAACAAGAGAGCCGACACGGAAACTATTAGTGTCACCAAAACGCTGGCTACAAAACAACCTGATACTAACCAGTGTTCTGTACTCATTGCTAACTAACCAGTTAGCAAATACAGGGCAAAATTCATTCATGATAAGAACAACGAGAAGTCACCTAGAACAGAGAGCTTTGAAAGATGACTAGGAAATCAGCCACACAACAAACGTGCCCAGCCTCTGCTCAGCTCCCTGTGCTTGCATGTGAGTGTTCTACAGTTGACATCTTCAAATTCTTCATTTTTTCCTGCAATTAGTGTTTTGCAAGTGAAGTCTGATGGGGCAGTGCCCATAGTGTCTTCTGCAGGGATGATGTTGGGGAGCCCTGCCTGGGCAGGCAGTGCCTTCTGGGGAGGTCAGGGTGGGAATAGGGGCTCCTGAAAGCTCCAGCCCTCCCATGGCTCAGAGTGGGAGTCGACTCACAAAGACCATCTCCATGTTAGCACAAGCTCAGATGTTAAGGTTATGTCTGGATGTTCCTCCAGATCCTCATTGGCTCACAGCTGGGGTTTGGGAAGGTGATGGGGTGCTGGGCACTCTAGTTGGCTTTCTCCTATATGGGCCCTGATCAGAAGAGGGGTCTCTGTGTTCTCTCTTCCTAGTCCTTTGTTCTACTTCCAGGACACAGTGCAAGGAGTCATGCTGGCCTGCCTTGAGGTCCTGGACAACAGACCAAAACCTCCAAAGGAGCCAAACCAAAACTCTCCTTGAAGATGTAGGCATTGGGTGTTGTGTCTTGGCTATGGGAACATGACTGGCATCTCAGGTGTGACTCCTGGGGCTTGTCAGGACTTGGGAAGGTCAGGAGGGCTTAGGAGCTTCATGTATTTAGCCCCTAAATACATTTATTATATGGTCACTGGATGAAGTTCAAGGAGGTCACCCTAAAGAGGAGACGAAGACTTCAGCTCACTCTGGGCAGGTTCTTGACACCTTGTCATGGAGAGGTGTTTCAGGATCTGTGTGTGAGGGGTACAGGCAGCGTTATTAGGCAAAATCAAAGAAGAATGCGTTCAGAAAGTCTAGATGCTAGGGTGGTGTGGGGTGTGCCCTGAGGCACTCATGTACCCTACAAATCTTAAGCCACATGATGTACGATGTGGTGTTTTTTTTTTTTTTTTTTTAATTCTGATTTCCCACTCCCCGACCCCACCAGCATAGTGTCCACAGACCTCTGCTGGAAACACACGGTGCTCGGAGAGGCTGACAGCCTAGTGGTTGGAGAGACAGCAGGGACTCCACAGGATCCCAACAGGGATGTGACATGCCAAGAAGCCCAGCAGTTTCTTAAAAAATTAAATCCATGACTATGCAATCCAGAAATTGTATTCCTGGATACCTACCCCAGAAATTTGTTGACTTACGTTTACCCAAACTCATGTATAGCAGTACCTTGAACACCTGTACCCATAATGCCTACCTCGATGGAAGCTATGTAAATGTCTTCAGTGTTGTATGTGGACATGTAGGCCAGGTTCCTTCCAGGCAGCATGAATCTCTCAAAAGCCACCTGGACCCTGGTGAGCTTTAGTGGCTCCTTGCTTTTATTATGAACACCTCATTGAATGACCTGGTTTGCCCACCTGCCGTTTAATGACTTAGCAAGATGCTGTCTTAGAATAAAAAAAGGGTTGAGAGAATGGCATGCTGGTACACACTTGTAATCCCAGCACTCAAGAGGCTGAAGCAGGAGGATCACTGTGATTTCGAGACCAGCCTTGACTACAAAGTGAGCTCAAGACCAGCCTGAACTGCATAACAAGATGCTATCTCAAAAAGACAAAAAACTGTAAGTCAGATCATAGAACTTTTTAAAACATTGTTTTATAGTGTAGTTATAAGCTTAAGACTAGTATCCTCATACTTTGATTTTGAAAAACATCAGTGATATAAAAGATGAGAGTATTTTTGTTGGAACAAGAAAAATTTACAAAGAAAGCATGTAAAGATAATTATTAAACCATTTGTTTACAAAAAAAAAAGGGTTGAGGGCACACTGGGGAAGCTGAGGCAAGAGCATCTCCTTGAGTTTAAAGGCCAGCTTGAACGACATAGTGAGATCCTGTCTCAACCAAACTAAACCAAACCCCCAAATAAAAAGGTTTGGGCTTGTAGCTCAGTGTCAAGGCTCTAACCTCAATCCCAAGTACTGCATTGGGGAAAATTTTTGAGCAAGCAATATATATATATATATATATATATATATATATATATTTTTTTTTTTTTCCTCCTACAACTTAGCAATATGCTTCAAAGCACTTATTGACAAAGGCCTTGAGCGACCATTTCTCCAAAGAATCGACTCAGCCTTCCTAACAGGAAAAGAGGTTACAGGTTAGGAGATGCATCAGCTCGCCTCCACCCCTTTCTGTGGCAGCCTGCGCCTCAAGGCTGATAACACCACTCTTGTATGTGTGCGGAGCTGGACTGGAACCCAGAGCCTTCCCACTGAGCTGCATCCTGCTGTTCTCTTTGTAATTTTTATTTTGAAACACAGTCTTGCTAAATCACATTGCCCACATTGTGTTTGAACTTTCAATTCTCCTGTTTCAGCCTTCCAGAGTGCTGGAATGAAGGGCAGCTGTCACCATGCCCAGCTAGGGTAGCATTTCTTTTGTGTTGTGCTGTATTTTGTAACAGGGTCTTGCTTTGTAGTGCAAGGCTGGCCATAAACTATGTAGCCTACGTTGGCCTTGAA